ACCCAAAAAGGCCTTCCCCGCCCCTAAGCTGGACTTCTCGCAAGTTACCCCAGAGGTAAAAACTAACTTCAATGAGGCCTTAAGAGTCATTATGGGCGCCGCCCACGAAGAGACCACACCGCTTAGGGATCATAAGGCAGTCTTTTACACGGACGGATCGGGATCCAAGGGAAAAATGCAGTGCAAACACCCCAGCAGGGTGGGGGTGGACAATGTCCTCTTCCTTGGGTTCGGCAGAGGCATTTGGTCCGGTCATCACCAACCACGACCAACACGCATACCTAGGCGCCGCAGTGGGTTCAAACAACACAGGAGAGCTGACGGCCATTGCAGAAGCCGTCCTTTACTCGGTCGAATGCGGCCCACAGGCCATCACCATCCACACTGATAGTCAATGGGCCATGAACATGCTGACGGGAAAGTGGCGACCACGTACCAACAAGGCCCTTATCGGCAACATCCGCCACCTCATAAGACATGGCGGAGTCAAGGTCCACCTCCAGTGGATAAAGGGACACGCGGGACATGCAGGAAACGAACTAGCGGATCAACTAGCTGAAAAAGGCAAACAGTCCACACAGCAGCAAGGCGGCAGAACCATACCGCTTCCCCCTTTGGAGCCTCGGACGACCGCCGCACCCCCAGCGCCCCACACGTTCGCTGAGGTCTTACAACAAGCTGCCAACGCTACAATCCCCATTTTCCGAAGAAACCCACGCAAACCGTGGATCTCGGACCACACCTTGCAGTTGCTAGAGGCCGCCACACATGCCGAGGCAAACTCAGCAGAAAATGCGAAACAGCTGCGAAACAAAAGGGAGGCAAAAAGAGACCGTATACGCCACATCCACTCGCAACTCATAGAAGACATTGCAAGACCCTGGCTCATACTGGCGCACAGCCCGCAACCAAAAGCGAGGCTTCCAAGGAGCAAAGAAGCACTTAGTGGTTGATGGCAAACCACAGCCCTGGTCCAAAACACACGAGGTTTTTAGAGACCACCTGCAAAATATACAGTGGAAAACACCACACATAGAGGACCACGCCGCCCAAATTCGAGACGCTAGACCTAACCTAAATGAACAGCAGCCGGACGAGCCAGATTTCACTAGACCTGACTTAGAGTCAGCCTTGCACAAGCTAAAAGCACGAAAAGCAGCCGGACCAGACAGAGTACCCAACGAGCTGCTCATGCTCCTGGACGAAGAACATCTAGATGATTTACTAAGCCTCTACAACACGGCATGGCAGGAGGGCACCATACCGCAAGAATGGGCGGAGGCTATCGTTGTTTCCATTTACAAAGGAAAAGGCGCGGATACAGACCCATCAAATTGCAGGCCCATATCTCTCCTAAACACCATTTATAAGGTCTACGCTGCAATGCTACAGTCTAGAATGGCCGCTACTTTCGATCAGAAGCTCAGACCTTCCCAATATGGTTTTCGCGCAGCGAGAGGTACAGTACAACCACTGTTTATATTAAGAAGAGCAATGGAATGGTCCCTTATGACCAACAAATCGCTACACGTACTGTCACTAGACTGGAAGCAAGCATTCGATTCTCTGGACCACACCGCCATGATAACAGCCTTGCGTAGGTTTGGGCTTTCGGCAAAGATGCTAGCTGCAGTAGAATCCACCTACCTGAACTCTACCTTCATGACTAAAGGCCTAGATGGTAGAACTGCGCATGGTAACGTCCATTCAGGTATACGCCAGGGTTGCCCCCTTAGTCCATACCTCTTCGTAGCCGTACTCACGGTAGTTTTCGCGGATATAGATGCCCTGCTTCAAACACAGGGAACGCCCACCAACACATGGTCCGAGGGATACCCCACATACGACATTGAATATGCTGACGACACGCTTTTACTGGGCAGAACCACAACGCAGTTACAGGCAATGTTGTCAGCAGTGGAACAGGTAGCCTCAGAGTATGGAATGCGACTCAACCACGATAAGACAGAGCTGTTGATCACACCAGGCGACAGCCCCAAGCTATTTTTCAGTAACGGCGACCAGGTTAAGACCACACCGCAAATTAAATGCCTGGGTTCATTAGTATCCTGGCAAGACACGTTTACCACGGCCTTCTACCATAGAGCTGGTTTGGCAGAGTCCGCGTTTAAAAAAGCTTAGACTGGTCTGGAACTCAAACCTCACCAAAAGCATCAAAGTACGAATCTTCCAAGCAACCTTTGTACCCATCCTGCTCTACGGTATTGACGCGCTCACCCTAACACCCAAACAGATTAAGAGGATTGACGGCTTCTATTACAGGTTCCTTCGGAGAGTCATCGGGATTAAGGCGTCTTTCTACTCCAGAATAGACAACCACACCGTATGGCAGGAAGCTAAATACCCAGAAACCCCCTCACAAACCTTGTCACACCAGCAATATCGCATGATGGTTAGAGTCTTCAACGCACCCCGTGAAGAGCCCTTTCACAACGTAGTCTTTTGCTTGGCCCATAAAGACAGAATACTAGCTACTGGCAGACGTAGAGGAATGCAGTTTCCATACTGGCTAGAAACAATAACAAAGAATAACTGCCCCGAAGAGTGGCTGCCAGACCACACCGCAACACCCTACTTTGGACCACAATTCAAGTACGCTAAAATAGCCAAGCAGTTGCGGGAAACATCTTTCGCGCTGGCGCCAAAGCGCGCGTTCTTACAGCGCGCAAGGCCTTGAGAGAAAAAAAAAACCCTAAACCCTACGTAGACCCTAGACCCTAAACCCCAAGCCCTACACCCTAAACCCTGCTTGTAAAAGAGCCTCCAAGTAGCACCCCATGCTACTACTGTTCTATAGGGTCATTCTTAGGAACTCTCAAAGGAGGGGCTTCGATTACCGGCTAGGTTCCGTTGTAAATTCCATCTAGGATGCCCAGTAGTACCCTTGTTCCCTTTTTGGGGGGTTTAGGTTCCCTCATAAACCCCTTTAAGCAAAAACGGGCACCCTTTTCAAGCCTAGGTTACTGGGCAGCCTAGCCATTCAGCAACAGAGGGGCACCCTTTTGTTCTAGGTTTTGTTTGGAATTCCAAGCCCTGAGCCCTGAGCCCAACCTTCTGTGCGTTGTGGGCCGAGGGGGTTTAGGGTTTAGGGTCTCAGTGTGGAGGGTTTTAGGGTTTTAGGGTTTTAGGGTTTTAGGGTTTTAGGGTTTTAGGGTTTTAGGGTTTTAGGGTTTGAGGGTTTGAGGGTTTGAGGGTTTGAGGGTTTGAGGGTTTGAGGGTTTGAGGGTTTGAGGGTTTGAGGGTTTGAGGGTTTGAGGGTTTGAGGGTTTTAGGTTTTAGGGTCTTAGGGTCTGAGGGTCTTAGGGTTTGGGGGTTTGAGGGTTTGAGGGTTTGAGGGTTTCAGGGTTTCAGGGTTTCAGGGTTTCAGGGTTTCAGGGTTTCGGGGTTTCAGGGTTTCAGGGTTTCAGGGTTTCAGGGTTTTAGGGTTTTAGGGTTTAGGGTTTTAGGGTTTTAGGGTTTTAGGGTTTTAGGGTTTTAGGGTTTTAGGGTTTTAGTTTTTTAGGGTTTTAGGGTTTTAGGGTTTTAGGGTTTTAGGGTTTTAGGGTTTTAGGTTTTTAGGGTTTTAGGGTTTTGGGAGACCAGAGTTGGCCCAAGGCAAGGCGAACCAACAAGGGGGCTTAACGGAGTTGGAGTTGGACGACACCAGCGTGGTGTCGGTGCAGGCACGCGGTGATGCTTTTTTTGCCGAAGCCCTAAAACCCTAAACCCTAAACCCTAAACCCTAAACCCTAAACCCTAAACCCTAAACCCTAAGCCCTAAAAAGGGTTTGGGGCTTTTCAGGGTTCAGGGCTTCGGGTTTGTCACATCTGCTCCGGTGCTGGCACCTCGGAGAGCCCCGGGAGTCAAAAGGGTTTAGGGTTTAGGGTTTAGGGTTTAGGGTTTTGTTTAGTTAAAACCCCAGAGGATATTGAAAATAGTATTGTTATGAAGGTTCTAAGGGGAGTACAAGGTTTGTCAGAGGAGCAGCTCATATGTCACATAGGGGCGGCTTTAGGGTTTATAGGGTTTAGGGTTTAGGTTTAGGGTTTCGGGTTTAGGGTTTAGGGTTTAGGGTTTAGTTCGGGTGCCACGCTCACGCGGGACACGCGTTGCGTATCCTGCCGACCTGCCCGCTCAATCGATGACCTCGGCTTTGGGTTTGCCATGTTGACAGTCAGGCCACTGCCAGGCTTTGAAAAGGCGGTTGAGGGTTTAAGGTTTAGCGTTTTGGGAGGTTGTGAAACACAATACCTTTACGTGATTTCATACAATAAGTATACCGTAATTTCAAACAATAAGTATACCTGTAATTTCATGCAATAAGTATACCTGTAATTTCATGCAATAAGTAGATCATCGATCCACTTGTTTGGGTCCGGACAGAAGAGTCGAGAGGCACAGGACCCTTTTATTCTTGAGCCGCAGTTCTTAAATCCCTAAAACCCTAAACCCTAAACCCTAAGCCCTAAACCCTAAACCCTCCTGAATCCTAAGCCCGAAGTTGCGGGTCAGTTCCTAAACCCCGAAACCCTAAGCCCTTAAGTTTGTAGGGGTTGTTGGGGCACTGGGGGTGCGAGGCCCTCGGCCAGGCGTTCGGGGTTTGTCGGTCGACGGAGGCGACCCTTGACTCACTTGAGGCTTTAGGTTTTGGGGTTTAGGGTTTAGGGTTAGGCCGCCGCATCTTCCTGTGAAGAATTTAGCAGGACTCCCACTCTCTATCTGAGACTTCGCCAGCTTCGTCGCTGAAATTTCCGTCGTTGCTTAACCAGGAGCTTACCCAGCATATCCCTAAACCCTAAACCCTAAACCCTAAACCCTAAACCCTAAACCCCAAACCCTAAACCCCAAACCCCAAACCCTAAACCCTAAACCCTAAACCTTACCCAGCATATCCCTAAACCCTAAACCCTAAACCCTAAACCCTGAACCCTGAAGCCTGAACCCTAAACCCTCAAACAAGGCTCTAGGGGAGGCCGATCGTCTTCGTGATGGTCAGGTCATGCCCGCGTCGCCGAAGGACTTTACGGATTTGAGGCAGACGTCGCTGAAATCCCAAAGGGAGACTTGCCTAACATTCTGTAGAGTTTAGGGTTTAGGTTTTAGGGTTTAGGGTTGAGGGTTGAGGGTCTTAGACACGGAAGACGGCATGATGCAGTTTGACCTCGGAGACGAGCTGAAGTTTGAATCAATGGAAATCCTCCTGCACCATTTGGCTATGTTGGGGGATCAGTTGTGTTTTCAGTTACTGGTCTCCGGTGAGGATGCTGATGCTTATTTGGTCACTTTTCCGGAGGTTCTTCACAACTTGCTATCGATCGTGTGTGCGTGTTTGAAGTGGTCCCCTCGAGTTTGTGGAGCAAGGAGTGGAAGAGCAGTCACCAGCACTGAGTACTGTGCTTGCACTTTCAGGCGATTGTACAAGTCCGGATGCAAAAAAGGGTTGAGGTTCTAGGGTTTAGGGTTGCTGGTCTACGGAATTCGGTTGAGCGATGCTTGGTTTGGGGCCGATTCGATGCCAAGCTATGGGATCGAAGGGTTTGAGAGAATCGGAGATGCAAGAGCACAAGGTTTAGGGTTTCGGGTTTAGGGTTTAGGGTTGGGCCTAAGGCCCAGGTTCGTTGGGCTTAGGCTTGTTTCGGATGACTTCCCATCCTCGCTGGGCGTTCGCCCGGTTAGTTGCAGTTCCGCAATTAGAGTAGTCCTAAGAGGGACACCGTGCCCTTTCGTTGCTGCTGATTTGAGGAGCATTCCGAGATTCGGCTTTCAAAGGTTTCAGGGTTGACAAAAAACACGTGCGAGGGGTTTACCATACATATCAGGGGTACCTTACTGGGTACTTCTTATAAGGGGATCCTACTGTTCGGGGGTCTATTTGAGGGGTCCCCTATTTTCCTTGGTAGCCCAGTGGTACCCTTTTCCCATTTTTGGGGTTCAAGGTTCCCTTCTAAAGTAACAAACCCCAAAAAAGGGTGCCCTTATTATAATATGGTTCCTGGGCTACTAAAACCCCTAAACCCTAAACCCTGAACCCTAAACCCTAAACCCAAAACCCTAAACCCTAAACCCTAAACCCAAAACCCTAAACCCTAAACCCTAAACCCTAAACCCTAAACCCTAAGCCCTAAGCCCTAAGCCCTAAGCCCTAAGCCCTAAGCCCTAAGCCCTAAACCCTAAACCCTAAACCCTAAACCCTAAACCCTAAACCCTAAACCCTGCCCCACACGCTGAGGAGGACGGCCGCCCGAGCCTCTTGAAAATCCGCTCGGTGGAGCCTTGCCAACAACTGGGGCTTGATTTGGATAGGGGTTTAGGGTTTAGGGTTTAGGGTTTAGGGTTTAGGGTATAGGGTTTAGGGTTTAGGGTTTAGGGTTTAGGTCCAAGTTCTATGGCTCCAATCCCGATCGAACCCCACATTAACCCATGGAACCGTCATCCCTGGACTCTATACCCTCAACCCTAAACCCTAAACCCTAAACCCTAAACCCTAAACCCTAAACCCTAAACCCTAACCCTAAACCCTAAACCCCAAACCCAGGGGCCCCGCAAACATCCCCCTCGAAACGGTTTGTGACATCTCGGGCTTGGGGCTCAGGGCTTCGGGGGTTGGGACGTGGGGTTCAGAGATTATAGCGTTCGCAACGGAGGGGGGTTCATCTAGAAAACCTTATTGAAGCTTAGGGTTACGTACACCTCTTGACCCCCCCCCCCCCTTAAGAACCCAAAAGAGAGAGAGAGAGAGAGAGAGAGAGAGAGAAGAGAGGGGGAGGGAGGGAGGGAGAGAGAGAGAGAGAAGGGAAGTTTCAGGGTGTTGTGTGGATGCACCGTTTTTGAACACCAAACGTCCCCAGTGGGCGGGCCTTCCCTGGATCATCCTCGAAACCTGAACTCTAAACCCGATCGTCCTCCAAGCCCGAGCCCTAAACCCTCAACCCTCCACAACTCGAAAACTCCTTCCCCCCCCGCACCACCAAAGCTTCGCTGCTAAGGACTCAAAAGATGTGGACGCTCTCAATGAAGAGGACTTCCTGGATGACCCAAAACCCTGAACGTGGCTATCCGACAGAGAGTTTTTACTTATCGCGGAAAGGGGGGGGGGGGGGGGGGGGCGGGAAGGAGCGGGAAAGGTTGCTTGGAGGTTCATGGTACTTATTTTTAGGGTTTAGAGTTTAGGGTTCAGGGGTACTTGTTAACCAATTATAACTGCACTTTTTGCCCGCTTATAAGCCCCTTCAGTGCCCTAATAGGGTTATAAGTCCAAGCAGCAGAGTAGGTAACCTTTAACCTTTTTGGTGCAATATCATCCAAAGGTTAACCTTTAGTTCCCCCAGGTTACTGGACAACTAAGAAGTACAGTTATAAGTACGGTGTGTAAGTCAAGGGGGTGGCTAGCCCCTACTAAACCCTAAACCCTAAACCCTAAACCCTAAACCCTAAACCCTAAACCCTAAACCCTAAACCCTAAACCCTAAACCCTAAACCCTAAACCCTAAACCCTAAACCCTAAACCCTAAACCCTAAACCCTAAACCCTAAACGGTTTCGTGTCTAGGGCTTCGGGAGTCCTCGCACAAACTTCGCCAAGAGTTTGGCTTCCTGAACCCCAAACCCTGAAACCCTGAAACCCTGAACCCTGAACCAAAAAACCCTCAAAGCCCTAAAAACACTGAAACCCTAAACCCTAAGCCCTAAACCCTAAACCCTAAACCCTAAACCCTAAACCCTAAACCCTAAACCCTAAACCCTAAACCCTAAACCCTAAACCCTAAACTCTAGGCAGTCTTATAGGATAGTCAGAGAACCGAGCCAGGAGATGCAGGTGGCTTTTGGCCGCGACATATGGACCTATTTCGCCATCGTCAGCCTCGGAAAAATTGGCAGATGGGATACGCGCCTGGGGAAGCCTTTGGCTGGTAGGGTTTAGGGTTTAGGGTTTAGGGTTTAGGGTTTAGGGTTTCCCGGGTTCACAAGGCAACAGAGGGTGCCCTTGTATTCTCAAGTTGCTGGTGCTGCATCCGAGCATTTGCTGCTTCAACCCCCAAGGAGTTCAAGGGTTTAGGGTTTAGGGTTTAGGGTTTAGGGTTTAGGGTTTAGGGTTTAGGGGTCTCAGTTTTGGGGGGCACTTTCTGGCTGAATGTCGGGGAGGCACCGGGACGCACATCGAAGCCGTAGCCTCCTCTTGTGTCTCTATTCAAGACTATGCGTAGTCTTTCTTGTCTAGGGTTTATAGCTTACAGGGTTTATAGGGTTTATAGCTTACAGGGTTTATAGGGTTTACATGGCTTTATGGCGTTTATAGGGTTTGTAGGGTTTAGGGTCCTCCCTCGGCGCCGCGACTAGGTTGTTCACGATGCTTCTGGTGCTGGTGAATGTGGCCATGCAGGTCCGCGGAAAGGGCCAACGAGTTGTGTTGAGTTTAGCTTTAGGGCTCAAAAGGGGGGCTTACAGGGGCTAAAAGGGGGCTTAAACGGGGCTTAAAAGGCTTAAAAGGGGGCTTAAATGGCTTAAAAGGGGGCTTAAAATGGGGCTTAAGGGATTTCAGGGTTCGGAGGGCTTAAAGGGAATTAAGGGTTTAACAGGGTTTCAAAGGGCTTACAAGGTGAAAGGGCTTCCGTTCCTAAGAACACCGGGGGGCTAACCCTAAACCCTAAGCCCTAAGCCCTAAGCCTAATTGAACCCTAAACCCTAAACCCTAAACCCTAAGCCCTAAGCCCTAAACCCTAAACCCTAAACCCTTAACCCTTAACCCTAAACCCTCGCTGACAGGTGGCCTTCGTCATCATCCTGATGTCAGAATACTTCCTGGAACGCCTCTCGGCATGGACACTGGGATGTTGGGATGTTCCCCCTTAAACGAACAGCCCTTGATGGGGTTTAGGGTTTAGGGTTTGGGTTTAGGGTTTGGGGTTCAGGGTTTAGGGTTTGGGGTTTGGGGTTTGGGGTTTAGGGTTTAGGGGTAACCCCCCCTATTGTAATCCCTCTCAAGGACTGGCAGTATAAGGAGGAACACCCCAACCTGAACCCCTAACCCCCTAAACCTCTAAACCCTCAACCCTGAACCCTAAACCCTAAATCCTAAACCCTAAACCCCAAACCCTAAACCCCAAACCCCAAACCCCAAACCCCAAATCCCAACCGGGAAGCATCCCAACATGGACCCTTTAAAGGATGTGCCCGCCGTTTGCTTGAGGAGCTGCAGGGAGTGCTTGCATCATGGTTCATGTACCATGGCAGGGTTCGTGTGCCCTTAGGGTTTAGGGTTTAGGGTTTAGGATTTAGGGTTTAGGGTTTAGGGTTTAGGGTTTAGGGGCATCTGCCCTTATGTTCCTGAGGCGCCTAATTCAGATAGACCGCCGCGCGTGACCGTGAAGTTTTCATGCTTCGGCAGCTTCACTACGTACACCTGTGTGCAACATGAGGACCATTTGAGGAGAAGATCGGGTTCGCAAGGGTCTGGCGCACGAGCGTGGGACACGACGCGAGGTGCAGCGGGGGTGGGGGGGGAGAGGGAGTTTAGGGTTTAGGGTTAGGGTTTACGTAGGGTTTAGGGTTTAGGGTTTAGGGTTTGGGGTTTGGGGTTTGGGGTTTGGGGTTTGGGGTTTAGGGTTTAGGGTTTAGGGTTTAGGGGAGGTCGAGAGAGCAAGAGAGCCAAAGACCAGAGCGGGACGGCGAGACGAAGTCGCTGTTCGGTTTTCGGGAAAAAGAGTTTAGTGTTTAGGGGTTGAGGGGTTTAGGGTTCAGGGAGTCACTCCAGCCGCATATCAACATGAACTATCTGAAAAAAATGAAGGCCTTCCACACCCACAGTCACGGCTGCCAACAGGCAGGAACACAGCACGCAGACCCTAAACCCGAAACCCTAAACCCTAACCCTAAACTCCTAAATAAATCCTAGGGTTTAGGGTTTAGGGTTTGGGGTTTAGGGTTTAGGTTTAGGGTTTAGGGGTGTAGGATTTATTTAGGAGTTTAGGGTAAAGGGTTTAGGGTTTAGGGTTTCGGGTTT